ATCAAATTACATTATATTGAAATTTCATTGGATTTAATTATTCCAATTATCATTATTTATTATTGTGTGAATTTCCGTCTGAATTTGTTTTGGGCCATATTTCAATAGTTGGAAAAATAAATGTCACTGGAATTGTAAAAATTTTAATGAAAGTTCTATTCGAAATCTACCTGCAGTGGTAGATACAAAATAATTTCATACTCAAGGCATTATTTAGTTAACAAAAAAAAGTACACCTTTAAAATAACATAATGTCATTATAATTTATAAATTATTTTTTTCATAATTTGTCATATTTCTCATCTATAATACATGTTTAACACATCAATACAGTTACAACTAAAAAAATAACTTTTCTCAATTCAAAATAAGCAAATCATTGTAAAAATATATTTTTTAAAATTTTATGAACAAAAGTTGACTTGACAATATTATCAATGAATTTTTGAATTATAAATATTTAATTAAAATATTACTTACAAAATTGTAATTAAATATAATATAATATAGGATATACAAATAATTTATATATAATGAGACAGATGATCATAGAAAATTCTATACTTTATATTATGCTTTTTTTTGAGAAATCTACAGTTAAGAACATGTGAAATAACAAGATAAAGTTTAAAAAAATATTAAATATGATAAATAATATGAAAAATAACTAAGTTGTGACACGTACTTATAAATATGAAACAAAGTGATAAATAAAAATATTATAATTAATTGAACTAAATATAAACCTTCTAAAAATATACTTATCGATGTAATCGAGTTGAGTTGTTAAATGCTTGTTAATTTTTTGTCCTTATTAATTTTATGTGTAAATTTGAGGTGATAAACAATAGTTATTTGTACATTATCCATGTAGGTTAGAAAAAAAATCTTTAATATTCTAATTTTAAATAAATTTTTATTTACTATATTAGTTTTTTTGAATAAAATATATAAATATCATACTAAACATATAAAACAATAAATATTTTAATTATTTAATATTTAATATGTAAGAAATGTAACTCAATTGGTAAATTAATAGGTAATTTTGAGATAAAATAATGAGTGATTGTTGAAAAATAATATAGGAATTAAAAAGTTCATGTGTTTAATATACTTTAAATAAAAAAAATTGTAAATACAATTAACCAATAATTACTACATAAAAAAATTAATGTTTGAGAGTACTGCAAAAAAATAGTTATATTGCAATGAAATAACAATATAAAGTTTTAAAAAATATTTAATATGAAAAATAACTAAGTTTGTGACACGTACTAATAAATATGAAACAAAGTAATAAAAAAAATATTATAATTAATTAAACTAAATATAAACCTTCTAAAAATATACTTATCGATGTAAACGAGCTGAGTTGTTAAAGACTTATTTTTTTTTTCCTATTAATTTTATGTGTAAATTTGAGGTGATAGACAATAGCTATTTTTACATTTATCCATGTAGGTTAGAAAAAAAAAAATCTTTATTATTCTAATTTCAGATAACTTTTTATTTACTATATTAGTTTTTTAATATAATATATAAATATCATATTAAACATATAACACCAGAAATATTTTAATTATTTAATATTTAATATGTAAGAAATGTAACTCAATTGGTAAATTAGTAGGTAATCTTGAGATAAAAGAATGAGTGATTTCTGAAAAATATATATATATATATATATATGTATATATATATATATATTTATAGGAACTAAAAAGTTCATGTGTTTAATATATTTTTAATAAAAAAAATTGAAAATACAATTAAGCAATAATTACTACATAAAAAATTAATGTTTGAGAGGACTACAAAAAATTGCTATATTACAGTGAAAAATTCAACGATAAGATATTCTACTGAAAATTCCAACGAATATATAATAAATATTGCTTTCATTGGAAAATTTCATTGGCTATTCCAACATAGTTCAAATTAAATTAAATGAACTTTAGTGAATTTAAAGATTTCAATTAACTGAATTTTGATTGGAATATGTTTTGGACCATATTCAATCATTAGAAAAATTGTCATTGCTATTGTGCAAAAACTCAAATGAAAGTTTCATTAAAAAGCTAATTGCAGTGATAGCTCCAAAATAATTTTTTATTGGGGGCATTATTTAGTTAACAAAAAAAATATACCATAAAAATAACATGTCATTGCAATTTATAAATTATACTTTACATAATCTATCACCCTTCTCATTTGTAATACATATTAATAAATCTATATAGTCACATTAAGGTATAATATATTTAAGAAACCAAAAGACATGATTTTCTCAATTCAACATAAGAAAATCGTTATATTCTTATTGTAATTTTTATTGGAATTCTCTCATTTTCTTGCAGTAAAAGTAGGACTGCAAATATATATATATATAAAGAAAATTTCATTATATATAATATTGTGTGCAACTATTATTATGATTTTTTTTTTGATATGATAGAAAATATAACACATTCAATGTAATTAGTGTTTAATTTATGATAATAAATATTTTTTTTTTTCAAAACAAACAAGATACTTTGAAATGTTCTTAACTATTTTATTGGTATTATAATAACTAAATAAGTGGTAAGAATGATGAGAAAACTTATAGCTCTCATTAAATCCAAAAGTAAAAAATACTGATAAAATTACTTAATGTACAATATCAATTGGAGCTGACTAATGAGAAAAATATAAAACATACTTAAAATACACATATATTTTAACTAGAACTTATATATATATATCTTTAAAAGTGGGTGTGTTAATTTTAAAATTTTTTAGTTAAAAAATTTTATTACTTTCTATCATTATTTTTTTTTTTTAATTTTGAAATACTTCATATCTTCTATTTGTTACCTTTTTATATGTAATATATCACATCATTTCTTTTAAATGATGTTTGAGTTGACCAATATATTACAAATAAAATAAAATAATGTAATTATTT